CTTCTCCTACCTGACTCCCTGGTGCCTCTTGACGTACAGGCTGTGGAAGTTGTTGGTGCTCTCTGGGCGTGACCCCTGTCCAGTCTGCAGGCGGGCCATGATCTCTGCCTTCATCTCTCGGGCCAAATAGGCAGGAAGGATGGACAAGAGAAGATGTTCCTGGGGAAGGTCATTATGAGCACCAAGCCTCCTGTACCTCAAAACTGGAGCCCCAGACCCCTAAACCAGCTAGGAAACCACACACTTCCCCAGACCTTCTAGATGCTCCCAAGGTGCTTCCCCGGGGTCTTCCCCACCACATACAGCTGGATTCTAGGTCTACTGGTCACATTTAGGAACTAAACTCCCGGCACCGATGCTGGAACTGGAGTCATTTGTTTAGTGTAACAATGTTCTAAAATGCCTTCACAAACTTCAGTTTAAGCCTCAAATAACTTTCGAAGTTGGGTAATTACGACATTTTGCAAAAAACGAAACAGAAGGTCAAATGATCTGCCCCAGATCACATGTCTTGTTGAGTGATCTAAGCTACTACTCTCTGAGCCGGGAGTCCCTAGACCTGAGACTCACCCCGCCGGGTCGGCCTCCGTATTTAGCTGTTAACTATAATTTCGTGGGATCAAAGCCCCAGGCCCCGCCTCTCAGACCCCGCCTCCCAGACCCCGCTGACCTGGTGCTTCTTCTCGGTGTCCAGCCGCCGGCGTGAGTGCAGGGAGCTAAGCGCCTCCCGGAACGTGGCGCGCAGCGCGCGCTCCATCAGCGCCTTGTGGTACGCTCCAACCACGTTCCCGCACAGGAACAGCACCGCGTTTGCAGCCAGCTGTGGGTGAGGGTCAGCCTCAGAAGGCGCTGGACCCGGGTGGGGTGGGCGTGGCTATGTGTGTAGCTGGACTTGGTCTCCAAGAGGACTGGGGAGGACTCTCCAGTTAGAGACCTAAGTATTTTGAGGCAATCGGTGGCGCCACAATGTGGGATCCACAGGGGGTGCTTCTCTTCCCCATCCCCCTGCTCCAGACTTGACTGCTGCACCAACATGGCCTCTTAGATCTAGAAACCTTTTTACATACTTTTCCTCTGCCCGGAATACCACTCCACCACCCTCATCCCGTAGGCCACCGCCCATTTTTTACAGTCTGTGATGGCTCCATCATCCGTTTGTGTCCCCACCCCTTTGTTCCCTGGTAAACTCCCTTTCCTGCGGCCCAGAACTCTCTCCTGGTGTCTGCAGGCATCCAGCAGCACTGGTGTACCAGTTTTTGGGGGGCAGGGGCGAGGTCTATCTGTGTTTGACCTATGCCCAGCGTTGAGCCTTGTCAGAGTCACAGCTCGGTAAACTTTTGATGAATGCCCAGACAACCAAATAACAGGCAGGAGAGTCTGCCCAGGCACACATAGCCTGTGTTATGAGAGTGCTCACCTGAGGCAGGAGCGCAGGTCGTGAGTCCGGCTGAGGCCCAAGATACAGCCCCAGGACAAGCAGGTGTGAGAGTGAGGAGGTGAGGCCCGCAGCTGCAGCGTCCCTCATGCCCAAGGGCAACATGGCATACACCGTGAAGATGACAAAGAGGAAAAAGGACACCTGCGGCGAGGGTGGGTGGAGGGCCGGGATGCAGGCTTAGGCTGCTTTGCAGCCGCTGCTGACATCCGGGATGCCAGTTCCAGGCCCTTCCCCCTCCGCCTGCCCTCCCCCCTCACCTGGTCCCAGGCGCTCACTACGCCCCCAGTGAACAGGAAGCCATGGCCCAGCGCAAGCAGCGCTGCCCACACCAGGACCGACAGGAGACGTGTCCAGCGCTGCAGTCGCTGTTCGCGGGAAGCCAGGCCCAGCAGCAGCGAGAAGCCGCCCAGAGCGCACAGCACAGTGGTCAGGAAGCCTGGGTCCGAGGCCAGTTCCTGTGGGGAGGAGGCGCGGTGAAGCAAGATTGGCATGGGAAATTTGGGGTGCTTGTCTAAGGAGAGGGAGAACTGGTAGCCCCTTGGGTCAGTTTTGAAGAGTCTCAAACTCAAGTCTGCAAAGGAGGCAGGGCACCTGTGATTGCCAGTAATAATTAGGTTGAACCGTATGAGATTATCCATAAATTGTTTTTCATCGACAGAGCCCGCTGTCTCACATGGTTCCAAGCGAATTGTCCCACCGCCCTGACAACCTGGTCCTTCCCACAGTGGCTGCTCGCGAATGCATGACCCTTCTCAGTTCTTGTATCTGTCAAATAGGTGTCAGAACACCGATTCCGAGTCCTGAAGCAAGTGAAAAAAATCCTATTTTACAGAAAGCATTTAGGAAGAAGTGTAGCTAAATGTATCCAAATCCGGCCAATTTACTGCGGGTATTTCCTTCCCTAAGGCGCGGGGCCCGAGCTCTAGGGTACCGCGCGGGCGCGCTCGGGCAGCAGGGGGCGCTCGGGATCTGCCTCGTCGCCCCGGGCAGCGCTCTCCTCGCCCACCTCAGGGCTTAGGTCAGCCGCTGACCCCGCCCTTTGTCCCCATCTCTTCCTGGACCTCGAGGTGGACCAGCAAGGATTAGTCCTGTCAGTGATTTTCCCATTTTGTCGCCGAAGAGTGAAAAGAAAACTTGGAGCAGGCTATTTCCAGAAATGGAATTGGAACCCCCCAAAGAAATTGGAAATTGGTTTATTTGGGAACTAAATGGGAGCAGGATAGAGGGTGCTTTCTCAGAGTCAGTGGGTACTACTGTTCCACAGCCCCTAAGAGAGAAAAAAAGAATCAGAAGACGAATTCTCAGGGGTCCAGTGTAAATTCCACCACCCCCTGCCCTGGAAAAAGGGAAAATCCGGTTTTGGATTTATCTAGAACCAGCAGCTCTCAGAAGCGCATAGGGCCCGTCAGTACTCAGAGAGAAACTAGCGATATCCAGGTCTCAGCTATCTCCCTGTGCTGACCCAGAAACTGGCCCAGGGAAGAGGAATGACTTGTTCAAGGTCACTGCAGCTCTTAGCAAGACTCAGCTCTCCTTTCCCCGCTGGCAGAAAAGAAAAAACAATGTAAAGAAGACCCCCACAAGTTTCAGCCCCTGAATGTCACTAGGCAGTGACCCTCCTGGTCCCCCCAAAACCCTGGCTCACCCTGCCGCTGGCCCAGGCCACAGCTAGCAGTGCCAGGAGCGAGCCAAGCACGATCAGCAGCAACAGCAGCAGGAGCGGGTACTGCTGGCTCAGGCTGTAGTAGGTCTCGTAGAAGAGGTCTTCGCTGGGAGGTGGCCGCGGGCTGAAGAGGCGAGCCATGGTGTCCCCAGCCTGGATCTTCCCTGCTGCGTTGCCCCAAGAGGGTGGGGGGACCCCAGGGCTGGGCTGGGGAGGATCCGGAGTGGGTTACCTCCTGTGGTACCAGCCAGCCCCAACATTCCCCTCCCTCACCTGATCCAAACAACTTCCCCCCCTGGCCCCCACCTTGCGCCAATCCCATTTCCTTTGGGCACTCCCGGCGACCTCCCATCCCACTTCAGTTGGCGGAGAGGGTACTATCCAATCCTCCATTTTCCCTCAAATCCAGACTGAGGCACGCTAGCACAAGCCTCGCCGCCAAGGATACAAAATTTGGGGTTGAAGTATAACAGCCTGGGTTCTATCCCCACCCGGCGCCCATCTCCGGCACCCCGAACTCACTGCCTGCCTGCCTGCCTGCTGCCGCCGCCGCCGAGTGGGTTAGGCCCAGGCAGGAGTGGACTCCTGCCCGCCGCTGAGCTGATGGCTCAGAGCTCCCGGCGACAGGCGCTTTACTCCAGGTGCCCTGGCCCCCTCCCACTTCCCTGATGGGACAGCCCAGCCCCTTCCCGTGCCGGCGCCGGACTCCCCAGGTCTCCTCCCCCACACTGATTGTCTCCGGTGACACCACCACTTTTCTCCTTGGGCACCCTCAAAGAAGCATGCAGACCGTGGGAGAGATGCAAGAAGTTGGGGTGAGCTGGGCTTGGATGTGGTGTGAGGGCTGCATTGGAACCTGGTTTGAATGTAGGGAAGAATGTGATGCCAGATGGGGCCAAGGATCTAGGTCAGGATTGAGGGGAGCGCTCATTTCCCTCCCTCCCTCCCTCCTGGTGGCAGCTGCTGTGGTTCCCCCAGGCTTCCGGGCTGCCTCCAGTCTGGGGGCACATCTGTGTGTAGCTTTGTGGAGTCACAGCTTCCCACTCCCAGACACCAGCTGGGAATCAAAGGGCTCCACTCCCCAGAAGAAATGTGCTGGAGAGTGTGTGTGTGGGTGTGAGAACCTGGGGCCAGGGACTGGATGGGCTGGGGTCTTTGAATTCCCAAGGAACTCCCTCCGCAGGACCCCATTACTGAATCTCTGAAGAAAAGAGAGGCCAGTGGGATTACAGCCTCAGCCCTCAGAGTTTAGGTTTAGGGTGGGGTCTTCTCCCCCCTTTAGAGGAAGTGCTCCGCCCAGAGATAGACCGGCCCCAAGCCAGACCTCCAGGATTCCTTCCTGCCACCAGCTGGGACCTGACCTTGTGTGCCAGGCCATTGCTGCCCTCACACCCCCACCCCAGGCCTCAGCATCCAGCTTCCGGCCTCAGTGAGACTGCAATGCCTCCCTTCCCTTGATGTCTGCTCCCCAGCCTCCCATCCCTGGCCCTTCAACTCCTGCATGACTCTTTGGTTAATATTGTCTCTGGTTTATTGACTCTTGGAGGCACCGAGTCAGTTCCCGTGCAGACCCAGGGGCTCTCAAAGTCTTGGTTAGCTACCTCCATTCCTCCTGTTATTGTAGAGGCACTGCAGGTCACTCCAGACATCAGGTTCTTTTTTTAAAGATTATTTATTTAAAAAAATAAGAACCGGGGTACAGGCCAGATATGCAGGAGGGTGAGAGAATTCACCAGAGACAGAGTGGGGAACAGAACAGGCAGACTGATGAAATACACTGCTGAGGGGAGCAGCAGGAGAGACAGGAGAGGTCTGCCGCGCCTTGTGGGACCCTTGCCTGCCAGCTGGCTGGCCAGGATCCAACCAGAGCTACAGAGGCTGTGGACAGCTTCACAGCGCTGCGCTCAACCGCCTGTGCCACCAGGGGAGGCCCCAGACTTCAGGTTCTTGCAGGCCTTCATTTGAACCTAATTGTGAGGGGCACCCTGCCAGCGCAAAGGTGCTGGGCCTTGTGTCGAAGAGGCAGTTCCTTGTTGAAAAACCAGGTAGTTGTTGTTTCCAATCTGCACTCCCTGGCAGTTCTGTATAATAGGTTGTGTCCCTTTGAAAGAAATAGGAGTGGGTTAAATGGTCAGAAACTCAGGAGGAGCAGGTGGACAGCGTCACCTCGTGTTCACCCTGGGGAAATACAAGCATGGGGGTTTCTGGGCCTGGCAGGGTCAACGTGTGCCTTTGGCCTTCCCCTTTAGGTTGCCCCTTCAGAACAGAATTTGCGGGCCTCCCCGGTGGCGCAGCGGTTGAGCGCTGGGTTGCGAAGCTGCCCGCAGCCTCTGCAGTGCTGGTTCGATCCCCAGCTGCTTCCCGGCCACCCACATGGCGCGCAGAGACCTCTCCTGCCACCCGCGCAGAGACCTCTCCTGCCACCCGCGCAGTCTCAGCAGCGTACTTCAGTCCTTCTGCCTGCTCTGCTCCGCTCCCCACCCTCTCTCTGGTGAATTCTCTCACCCTCCCATGCTTCTGACTGTACCCAGTGCTTGTATAAATAAATAAATAAATCTTTAAAAAAAAAAAAAAAAAAAAAACAGAATTTGCACAAACTCAAGAGTGCCAACTCTGTCTGAGAACTTGCTATTTGGATCTTTTCCCACTGGGAGGCCCTGTACACCCTCTAGACTTATAAAGGAGGAATTTAGGGGCTCACAGAGCTGGTACTGGGGAAAGTCAGAGGTCCAGGGGGCAAATGCAGGCTTTGCTGTGAACTCAGCAGGATTTGATCCCAAAGTTCTTTATGAAATAGGAAGGTTGGAGTAGCTAATCTGTAACCCTTCCTCTCCCCTTTCTCCAAGGTAGTCTGGGTCTACCTAGGGCCTTGAGAAATCAGCTGGTGGAAAGGAAGGAGTGGGGATTAGATACCTGGTATTGGATTTGGTCTCGGGGCCCTGGGAGGCCAGTTGGTGCCATGTCTTCCATCTCTCTGCAAACAACACAGGGCTCTCATATTTCCTGTCCTGGGCCCTGTTCCCCACTGCATACTCCTCAGTCCCAAGTTTTCCCAGGGGGGACAGGACTCACAAGAGCCTAGTGCATCCCTTAGGTCAGTGTCTCACCGGATTCCATGTGGGTCCAGTTTCTGGGGTTGAAGATGAGGTGAAGCTGGGCATCTTGTGACTGAAAGGTGGCATCTCTGGACTTGAGGGAGGACGGGCATCATGAGATCCAGGGGACTCCTTCAGATTCAGACTGCCCAGCCTCTCAGTGATCCCAGCATCATTGCTTTCTGTGGTTCCCACAGAGTCATTCATTTCTGTCCCTCCTGTGTCAGGCTTGGGGACAGACAAACTCATGTTGCTGCCCCTGTGTTTAGATAGGTACTTTTTCACCTGCAAGGATAAGGAGGTTTGCGGGGCATGAAGACAGGAGAGCTAGAACCCAAGGGAAGAGTCTCCTGGGCTGGCCTCCTGTTGTCTGAGAACACAGGGGTCAGGGACAGAATGAGGGGCAAGGCATAAAGAAGAGTGGTCAGTGGGGAGTCACTGGGTGGCCAGCGGAGCCATCCCTATTCAGCCAGGTGGTGGTTGGTATTGTCACTCACCATGGAGACTGCAGCGTCTATTTTCTCTTCCCTTAATTGTGTGAAGGCGCTTGTGGTTTTTGATTGACAATCTAGAGGGAAGGCAGAGTAGATGGCAGGTGAAGAAAAGTTCTTCCTCAGGGCAAAGCCCCTGGCTGACAGAAACAGGCCTGCCAGCTGAATGGCCACTTGCCTCGGAAGCTGGGCCGTTCATCGGGCTCATGTTTCCAGCATTCCTCCATTAACTTTCTCAGTCCTTCTAAGCCAGGCATCTCAGAGCTGCACTGGGGCAGCTCAGTCAATGGGGGCCTCATCTGCCTCTCATACACAGATTCTTTCACCAGCAGTGTTTGGGACACTACTTGGGGGGTGGGGGGGGAGGGGAAGAGAATGTAAGCAAGGTGTGAGCAGTCACCTACTCCATCATCCAAGGGGCAAGGCTTGCAGTCCAAGGACAAGCGAGAGGGAGTAAGGTATTCTGAGCAGGGAAGCAGGACAAAGAGAGCTTGGGGGCTTATGGGAAGAGAGCACCTGGATTTAAGGATCCCAGAGTCTGCCTACAGAGTCTTACTCTCAGGTTCTCTTCCGGCTAGCACTGCCCACATTAGGATCCCAAAGCTGTAGAAGACACAAAACTAAGCCTTAGCACACACTCTCCATATACAGTCCCTCAAAAGGACCCAGAGAGGTGCAGAGGTTGGGGATGTGTGTTTGGAGTGGGTGCCTTACCTGTAGACATCACTGGCCTCGGTGGCCTGCCTGTGTACATCAGCCAAAAGCTCTGGGGCCATGTAGGCGGGCGTGCCCCCTGACTCTCCAGATTCTGCCTCTGATTGTGAGCGTCCCATAAATGTGGATAGGCCAAAATCTGCCACCTGCACAGGTAGGTAAGAAGGAGGAGACGGGCCTCCCCTGGTGGTGCAGCAGTTAAGCGCTGGGTTGCAAGGCTGCCCGCAGCCTCTGCAGCACCAGTTCGATCCCCGGCCACCGGTGAGGGTCCCACAAAAAAAAAAAAAAAAAAAAAAAAGGAGGAGGAGATAGGGCCAGGCAGCGTCTAGAACTCCAGAATCCCCTCACCCAGCCCCAGAAAGGACAATCCAATCTTGTAAAGGGGAGAGTTAGAGGAAGGGTAAGATGATTGGGACTGTTGGCTCCCAGATGGGACCCAGAGGCTGGGTCCAGATCTGAGTCTCCTTGGCTAGATCAGCCATGGGTCTCTGGGAAAGTGGGCTTTGGTAACTGACTTTATGGGTTACCACCTCAATCTGCCTGGTATGGCAGGGGCTAAACCTCCTCATTGTGCCTTCACACTTGGGCCCCCCGTGTCCACAGGGAGATGCTGAGGGTATTTAGCTTCATAGTGCTAAGACTTCACCCCTTGCACCACCAGGGAGGCCCTAAGCTGAGGGTATTTAGTAGATAGGACTGCAGCAGGGCCCGGTGTCCAGTGGGCGGAAATGGAGCAGTTCTGGGGAAGGACCTTATCCAGAGGCTGGGCTGGGTGTGGAGGGCTAACCTTGGCATGCAGCTCTGAGTCCAGCAGGACGTTGGAGGGTTTGAGGTCCTCGTGTAGAAGCACCGGGTTCTGGCTGTGCAGGTAACACATCCCCAGAACCAGTTCCCGAAGCAATCGACAAAGGAGGGCCCAGGGCCGAGGGCAGTGGGGCTGCAAGAGCCCTGCCAGGGAACCATTTTCCATGAATGGAGTCACCAGAGCCGGCCCCGACAGGTAGTCCCACTCCAGCTTCTCGGTGACCCCCAGCAGTTGCAGCACATACTGGTTACGAAGATTTACCATGGCCTTCGCCTCCCTGGATATCGCCTTCCTACACTCCAGAAGAGAGTTGGGGTTGCGCTCAGTGCCAGGGAAGAAGATCCCTCTGCTACCCGTTCAGGTTGGCTGCACAGTGCCAGCAGCCGCGCATCCAAAGCTGGGGTCACTTACGAATTCACGATCTTGACCGCCACTTCCATACCCCACGACTTATGTTGGGCCTGGAATACTGCACCGAATCCGCCTTTGCCGATGAACGTCGGGTTCTCCAGCTCCTCCACCGGAACCAAGGAGGCTGAGGCATCCTCCAGCCTGAGAGAGGAGGCCTCTTCCACCAGCTGGCGGGAGGCGCCAGGGCCAAAGCGCCAACCTCCAGCATCTACCCGCACTCTCACTCCCTGTTCCCCTCCCCCCTTCCCCATTTACACTGTTGGGTTAGTACACCCTCCCCCGCCCCCCTCCCCCTATCCCCCCATGTCCAAGGGTGGGGAACAAAGGTGCCCCCTATTGTGCCTGGGGTGTGTGTGTGTGTGTGTGTGTGTGTGTGTGTGTGTAAGAGAGAGAGAGAGAGACTGGGGATCTATAGCCACTCTCCACTCACCATAACTTGTTGCCAGACATCTGGCTGGGACGCCTGAAGTTCTCCGTCCAAAAGTATGGGGTGACTTCTGGTGGTCGGGCCTGCGGCAGAGGGGCTGGGGTCAGTCTTCAGGTCTAGGCACCAATTCCTGTCCCCGAGTCACTCTGTCCCAGTGACCAACTTCCTTCTCTCCCTGGCGCCTCAACTGTCACGCCCCCGGGGCGGGGGTTAGAGGGTGTGCAGAACGGAAGCAAGCACTGTTCTTTTCTGACTAGTATTTCTTCCGGCACCTGCTTCTTGCCAGGCCAGGTCCTGTGTAACCAACCGGGCATTTAGGGTGCCACGGAAGGAGTCTTCGCCTTCCAGGCAGCCACAGTCAACAGGCCTTACATTGCCTGCTCTCCCTTCTCCCCTTGCATTCCCAGCTCAACTTGGGTTTCCATCCTGCCTGGGGTGTGGAGGGGGGTGTTGCTGAGGAGGATTTATGGTCCTGAGACTCTGCTCTCCCACAGCTGCCTAAGGTAAATAACATTTGTATAAAACTCACCGTGTGCCAGGCACATTTATTGGCTTAATTCTCAAATTAACCCCACTGGAGGTACTGCTTTTATTCTATATTCTTTTATTGTATATGGATGAGGAATTTGGAGGCACTGATAGTTTGAGTACCCTGTCCAAGCTATAGTGGAACTGAATTCAGAGTCTCACGTGAACTATCAAGTTATCCTATTTTTACATAGATTTCAGAGCTGTACCACTTGGCTGGTGGCTGAGAAAGGTATGATGTGTCTAACAGTGTAGTGAAAGGTCCCTGCCTGTACACCTGCCCAGTCCCTGAGAATGTTTTGCTGAAGCAAGCCTCTGGTGATGGTCACTTGGGTATGAAGTGGATTAATATACCCACTTTTTGTTTTGTCAATGGTCCATGGACTCTGCTGATGGGACCAAAACTGGCCAGCAGTTAACTGATTAATAGAACAATTAGGAACTCAAAGATCCACATTATGTGTTCTGGTGGTCTCATTCCATCCTATTTTGGAGCTATTTAGAGGATTCAAATAATTACAAGGAAGAATAAGGTTTAGATCTTTAGATTAACAGGCTTAGATCTGTAAGGACTCAGGAGTGAAATTCACTAATCAGATGAAGACTCTAAAGAGGCTGTTGTGAGAAGTTTAAAGAAATAAATGATAGAAAAAATAAGGGGGGTCTCCCTGGTGGTGCAAAGGGTTAAGTCTCAGCATTATGAAGCTATCTGCAGCCATTGCAGCAAGAGTTCGATCCCTGGCCAAGTAGGTAACCCACATGGTGCAGCAGACCTCTCCCGTCATCTGCTGCTCCCCTCAGTAGTGTATTTCAGTAGATCTGCCTGTTCTTCTCTCCACTCTGTCTCTGGTGAATCCTCTCACCCCCAGCACCTCTGGCCTGAACCCCAGCTCTTGTATGCATAAATAAATAAGTAAATCTTAAAGAAAAAGAAAAAATAAGCAAGGAACAAATAACTATTAAAAATATACCCAGGGCCTCCTTGGTGGTGCAAGGGATTAAGACACAACCTATGAAGCTATCTACATCCACTGCAGCACAAGTTCTATCCACGGCCAGGGAGCAACCCACATGGTGCCTCACCGCCTGCTGCTCTCCTCTACAGTGTACTTCAGTCAATCTGTCTCTTCTGTTCCCCTCTCTGTCTCTAGTGAATCCTCTCACCTCCCCCTTCACTCCTCTGTCCTGTACCCAAGGTCTTGTATATATAAATAAATAAATCTTTTAAAAAAATACCCAGATTAGTTTAGGAAAAAATAGAACATAATAAGGGACTCCCTGGTGACCCAAGGGGTTAAATCTCAACACTATGAAGCTATCCACAGCCACTGCAGCAAAAGTTCCATCCTTAGGGCCTCCCCTGGTGGCAGAGCGGTTGAGCACTGGGCTGCAAGGCTGCCCGCAGCCTCTGCAGCACCAGTTTGTTCCCTGGCCGCTGGCGAGGGTCCACCAAAAAAAAACCCAAAAAACAAAAAACTTCCATCTCTGGCCACGGAGGTGACCAACATGGTGCAGCAGACCACTCCTGTCTTGCCTGCTGCTCCCCTCAGCAGTGTATTTCAGTAGATCTGCCTGTTCTGCTCCCCACTCTGTCTCTGGTGAATCCGCTCACCCCCACCCCACCCCCACCTCTAACTGTTATAGGGCAGCCCCAATACAAAATGGGGTGGGCAAATAGAAATGTGTTTACTGGTTTGTAGGTAATTTTTAATGTGCTTATATTTTATATTTGTATTTTTACCCGTGATCCTGCAGCTTCCTTCTCCTACCTGCAACTACCTTCAGCCAGAAATCTGCCCTTTGTTGCTCCCTCTTGATTTCTTACCTCTCTAAGTAGGACTGCTGGCATCACCTTTGATACTTGATTGAAGTAGCTCTTGGAGATCTAATGGGTAGGAGACTCCATTTGGAGAGGATGTTGTGAGCAAAGGTGCAAATTCCCCACTGTGAACTTCAGAAAAGGCAAGGAGTTAGACTTGGCTGAGAGATCTTTTTTTCCTCTCATGCATCAAACATCACTATTGTCATTAAATCAATAATAAAAACTAGATTTTTTTTTTTTACACTTGAAAACTCACAAAAAGCTTTCACTATAAGTTATCACAGTCCTGTGATTATCAAGTTAACAGTCTTGTTATTGTCAAGCTTTGTAGATAGAAAAAAAAATTCCTTTTTTTGATCTGGATATGAAAGCAAATATAAAGTGATAAGAATTTTTCTTTTTCTTTTCTGAGTAAGGCAGGATGGATCCCTTCCACTGGTGCCAGGCTCATCAGGGAACCCTTATCTCTGCTCCCAGCTTTGAAAAACAAACCATCACCAGAGGGGGAAAGGGTGTAACCATAGGCAAATGAACTCTCACTTATGGTGACTGGGCTGCACTCCACATGGAAAAGATACAAACAAACCCCCAGGGTTTTAGCATAGAAGAGTTACTGGGAAAACATTCCACCTGGAAAGGGAAATGTGATATTGTGATTTATAATAAATGATATATATTTTCCCTTTGACCCATTCCTGGCACAGAACTCCTAAAACCCTTGGAATTGCATGTGATAAGAGCAATAAAGGTAGTACTTGTTCTATTAATGAAATTGTTATAGGGCAGCCCCGATATAAAACGGTTGCCTGGCTGTGGGTCCTCACCCGCACGCTTAAAAGGGACTTATGAATACTCCACCACAGGCACACACAAAAGGTTAATAAAAGGTTTATTTACAAGGGAAAGGGAATTAAGGAAATGTACAACTCAGGGAGAAAATAGGGAAATAAAGTCTTTAATGCATCCTACCCGATCCGATGACCTGGAAACCCAAAGTCACTCTCAGAGCTGGCCGGATGCTGTGAGCTGGCGGAGAGCCAAAATGGGGGACCCCCCCCCACAAAGCCCATGTGTCTGGCTTTATACCAACTTGACTGCTTAACCCCACCCTTAGGTCCCAGCCACCTTCCCTTTGGTGGTGATGGGATTTGGAGTTCCCAGTGTCTTTGGCTTTGGCCTGGGGTAGGGGTGGAGTCCACAAAGCCTGTGTGGAATTAGCTTTAGGACATCCTTTTCCCCCTAACAAAATGACTTTTGGAAACTCCTTAGGTCACCTGAGGATGGGGACTGGTTGTCAGGGGAACCAACCTTTTAATCGGAGGGTTGGAAATTTCAGTTCCACCCCAGCCTCTAGGGGAGGGGCCTGGAGGTGGAGACAGTTGCTAGTGGTCAATGCAGACATCAGTCATGCCCTTGCAGGAACATCTCCTTAAAAACCCCAGAGAACTAGGTCTAGTCCTCTCACACACCTTGCCCTGGACATCTCTTCCATCACACAGTTTCTGACTTGTTTCCTTTGATAGTAAACTGGTCATTTAGTAAGTAGAGTTCTGTGAGCCTCTCTACCAAATTAATGGAATCAAAGGCAGGAACGATATTTTAAAGTTTTAATCAACAGCTGGCTGGTCAGAAGCACAGGTAATTAACTTGGACTGGGTTCTCGCAAAAGGTGTTGCAAGACTGTGAAACAGTCTTGTGGGACTTAGCTGTTACCTGTGGGGTCTGATTCTAGGTAGATAGCAGAGGAATTGAGTTGAATTGTAGGACACCTAGCTGGTGTCTGAGAATTGCTGGGTAGTGTGAGAATTGTCTCTCTCTCCCAACATCACAAGTTGGAACTTGTTCAGAACTCTTAGTATTCCACTTGCAGTTACCTCTGTTCCTACCTTTGGGGTTCTTTTGGGGGGCCCTCCTTCTAGTGCTAGGGCACGTTCTTAAGTTCTTCAAGCAGGTTAGCTCCCCCTTCAACTTGCTTGTCCTTAGCAAAGCTGAGAAACTTATACTTTCACAAAGAACCATGCTGGGCCTAGAGACACCTGCCCCAGGGAAATGGAATTACTTTTGGTGACCCATTGGCAGAGCCTAAGTTGCCTGTCTGCACCCTCAAGGTAAGGGAGGATGGGAAGGGAAATTTCTTTTCATTCTACTTTAGTAGGACGTGACTAAAAAGGTTTTGATCCATCATCAGTGATAAGTGATACATATAACATACACATAACAACCATATATATACATATAACAACCATATACATATAACAACCATAATGCCCTTCCATCCAAGTGGAGTCTTTTTTGCTCTGCTCTAGTTAATGCTGTTGTCTAGTTAATGTTGAAGATCTAATTTCTATGTTCTTCCAGCTTCTTTCATCCTACTGGGGCAGGTCACTATATCAAGTTGCTTCCTCAGTTGGTTGTTCTATCTTTAAAAATTTTTACACTTGATCTTAGCCAAAAGGCCGAGAAGCAATAATTTTTAAAAAATTTTAGTAATGAATTGAATATTACCTAAATGTCAAAGGTATGGGCTTGAAGTCAGGCTTTCTGGGATTGATTCTGACCCTGCCAGTTAGTAGCGGTTTGAATTTAGCAAGTTACTCAACCTCTCTGAGCTTTAGTTAATTATAATACCTACTGAACTGGGTTGCTGTGATGTAATGGAATAAGACATGAAAGGACACCATGTTTCCAGGCACATATTACATGCTTAATAAGTGACACACATTACTGTGTTTTAAGCTGAAGATCACTTCTAGTCTACAATTAATTTTTAAAGCAGA